CCCACCACCCTTAGGCCTTGATACACAGCGCTCGGTTGAGTGGTGAGTTGGCGCTGCATTGAGGCCTCTTCGCTCTACAAAGCTCTGCCTCTCGGGTCAAAGGCGTAGAGGAACAGTTGGGGCGTCTCCTGTTTTGACACAGTCTGTATGTTCTTCTAATTGGTGCTAATTGGCGCAGAGGGGCTCCATTGTTCCTCTGTATAATATGACCCTCCTCTCCAAGACGGGAAGAAAGGGCACAAACAAAAGGCCGAGGCGAAATGGGGCGCGGGTTAAAGCGATCCGCAGTGATATCATTACAGCGTCCGAACTTTGTTCAGCTGTATCATGATTTATTAGCTGAAGCGTATTAGTAATATTAGTTCATGTTATTAAAGCAAATGGAGCTTTGATGTTGATAAATACAAAGAAATGCCTCATGTGACTTTTGAAAACACCCTTTTTTTTGTTTGTATCAGCAAAACTCCAAGACCTGTACAGTAAGGGCCATCAGTACCAGGGCTACCCGGGCTACAGTATCATGATGAACAACATGAACGACAACTACATGAGCAATGGCTCCATCTCGCCGCCCATGGCCAGAACGGTCAGTACCATATCTCTAAATGTAAATGTTAGCTTATCAGTTTGATGGCAGGAATGTATATATCTAGAAAAATGACTCCGAAGCTGATTCTATCATTGTTGTTATTTTATTTGGTGGTTTAAAGGTAAGGTTTATGTTTCCTGTTAGATTTGTTTTGTTCATTAACACGCGCTTGTGGGATCGAAAGTAAAAACAAGGAGGACAGTCATGTTGAACTTGCTCAGGTTAAAGTGAAGTTCAAGCGCTTTCTTCGTCTTTCAGATAAAAAAATAAAGTGAGAAGCGTTGTTTGTAAACTCTGTCATAGTTAAGCTCAAATATCCGTGTGAAGTTACATCAGCAGAACATGTCTGAGGCCCAGGAAGGAAAGCGACTTGTTGCGCTCCGGCCCAGAGACTCTTCTACTCGGTCTAAGTTTGAAAACATCTTATGATCAGTTTTTTTCATTGATAGTCAAATTCATTTCTATTAAGAATTTTACATTACAAAAATTAGCACTTTGAGAAAGGATATGGTTTTGCAAATGTGCACTTGTTTCTGGTTCTTATTTTAATAGTTGATTTTGTTTGTAACTGAAAAAGTAAACATTTCAAAGGTTTGATGTTTTCAAGCTGTGAACTTCTGGCTTTATGTTTCCACTGTGAATTAAATACATTGTGGTTTGAATTGTTGACGCAGTTTTTAGAGCTGTAAAAACCATGTATGGCTGCTTCTCCTTCTAGATAAACTAGTATATTTCTAGCTTAACAAAGCCCTATATTATTTAAAGACCGCATTTCTTAACTCGCATAATAACACTTCAAATGTCAATCATGTCCGTGTTGTTGTTACCTTTGTACAATATTTACCCTTGCGTTATTCCATTGTTGACGTCCTTCCCCTTGACGACCATACGTGACGAGTGGAAACTGAATGCCTGCCATGCTTTCCAGAAGATTACCATGAGATATACAGTATTTCTCATCTTGTTAAAATCTTAAGTGTTGCATGTCTACATGACCCGAGTAAAGCCCTGTAATTAGCCCGGCACGACAGAGGAGGCAACACCACGTCTGTGATGCTGTCCTGCTGAGGACTCCGGGCCAGGGGTGTGTGTGTGTGTGTGTGTGTGTGTGTGTGTGTGTGTGTGTGTGTGTGTGTGTGTGTGTGTGTGTGTGTGTGTTTCACTGTGGATTAGAGCGCACATTTGGGAACATGTTGTCATCAGCACCTGAGTCTGTGTGTGTGTTGCATTGCGGTCTGGTGCTCAACACCATCTCCATCTGTGTTTACATCTCACCCAGCTGACATCACCTCTGTTCCACTGTCATGGCCTGAGACCCCCACTACCAATGGCTTTATTCACCGTGAGTAACACACACACACACGCACGCACGCACGCACGCACGCACGCGCACACACACACACACACACACACACACTTT